CTTCAGTATTTGAAAATAACTGGAATATTCAATTCATCTAATTTGAACCAATTCCTCGAACACCCGAATTTTGTAATTTCTTAAGAAGCAAAAGTGGAAAATTTAATAAAAATTATTCTAAAACCTACTTTCATAATTGATAAAAATATTTAATTTTAAACGAAAAACGAAAAAATTGCATATTTTTAGGTGCAATTTAATGTTATACATTCATACATAAAATACTATATAAAAAGATTTAGATTCCTAAGACAAGTAAATTCTTTCAAATTTATTAGAAGAATTAATTAATTTTTTATTGATAGATCGATTAGAGCGACCAATACGGCTGGAATATATTGCTGATAAATTCGAAATCGTGTCGATAGATAATATTATTTAAAATAATATCAATTATTTACTTACATAAGTAGCGTAACGACTACATTTGTTGTTGGTATCCATACGAAAAATAGTGTTAAAATTCTATGAAGATTGGCACCAAAAAAACTGCAGTTATTGGCACCTTCGAAACTAAAAATATTGCCGGTGTGACCTTATTTAAGAAAATTGATAATTTCATAAATATACCAATTTTCAAGAAAATTTTCTTCCTCCTTTATTGAAACGGTATCTGGACCCGGCATTATTTTTGAAAAATTGGTCCTAAGCGAAATTGAAAAGTGGACCGTTTTATATTATATTTTTTGCATTCACGTTTTCCTTTGGAAATTTTTCCTTCCTTAATTTAGATTATTATAATCAGAATAGGAAATATTTTGAAGTGCTTTGAGACATAAAATTTGAATGCTAGATGAAATTTTATTATTCTCACGAAAATTACAATATTTTTTTCCGATTTTTAGGCAAACAGATTTTGAAATGCACATTCTGGCATAACCAAGCTGTGGCATTGGAAGCATTTGATTTTAATTTAATGCGTCGTGTAAGTACACACATATTTATCCATCTCAATTGAAATTATCTTCATCATCATGCAATCTACCTTTTATTAGCAATTTCTTAGTAGACTTACATCTAAAATTCTTCTACTATTTTCAAAAAAAAAGAGGATAACATGCCTAATTAATTTCTTAAATAATTTTAGAATATGTGTATATGTATACAGCTACATTAATCTAAAGGTAAGTCGTTGTTCTCCCTATATATTTCGTTTGATTTCGATAATTAGTTAATTACACAATTTTCACAAGAATTCTTATATTGTACATGAATAGCTTCCTCCATTATAACATTTTTATATTATATAGCTTTTTATGGAACATTAAGTACATTTCGCAACATTTATTTTTTTAATTAAAATTGTAAAAACGAAAAAAAAAATGACACAATGCCTTTTAGTTTACGGTACGAATAAATGGATATCGTAGTTGAAATTAAAAGGTTTTGTATAAGGTTCTCAATTATCAAAGTGATAATGATTAAGATATAGAAAATGATGATAACAGGAATAAAAATTTTCTAGGTTAATTATTATTTTCCTTTTTAATTTCTTACAGTTTGAAAATTGACTTGTGAATGGATGCTCATAAAACAAAAAAAAATTACGATAAAAACGTGAATTTTTTTTAATTTTAAGTAAGTGGGATTGGCTATTGTCTTAGAAGAGGATAAAAATATCCTTTATCTGATTGTAAGTAAAAATAAATAGAAAGAAAATATGAAGTAAAAATAAAATGGTTTGTTTTTTTGCTTTTTTAATTATAAAATTTATAAAATTTTTTGTTTTCTTGAATAGGTGAGTAATTAGACAAAGTTAATAGAAAGTCCTTGAAACTTTTTTATATACGAATAAGTATTTTACTAATATAGCTAAATTTTAAATTTATTATACTTGCGGATTGGCTTCAGCACACCTAAATTGCTAAAAATATAATTAACCTAAATTTGCAAATAATTAGAGAGAGAGGAGCTTATTTTAGAAAAACTTTTCATGTTTTGTTGTTAAATAATTTTCGAATTAATTGTGTCTATTTCTAGATTGAATTAATAGGAGCTCAGCAGGGTGTTGGGTTTGTGTAAATCGATTATATTTTTATTTATGACTTTATGTTTTAATTGTTTGCGTATAATTTAGACGTTTGATTTAATTACACAAGTTTTCTCTCATTTAATACCTCGGCTTAAAATAGGCTTGTTCAAGTTTTATTTAATTGGTTGAGAAGGTATTCAAATTGTAGGAAATCATAGTATTGGAGTTTGTGGTACATCAGTGCATGAATGTCGGTTTTTAATATAATTAAATTAAGATGGATAATCAAATAAAAGTCATTTCAAAGGTGAAACGAGTGATTCAAAATCTAAGCGAAGAATGTGTATATTAGGAATTTAGTACAAATGGAGACAGTGCTGGAGTTACCATATATACAAAGGAAGCAAATGCAATGAGCGTCAAAAACCAGGGGAAAATTTGCGATGGTTATTGTTATATAGTTCATTGTTTTGAAGTCGGGAACAGGCACTTTTTGGAAACCGCGTAGAACGCCGAACACATCAAAACCAGGCTTGATTGAATGTTTCAAATTTATGAAATTCTGGATAAATATTTTGTTTTTCACTTAATGTGCTTGAAACTAACAAGCTCTTACAGCTGCAACGATTTGTAGTTTTTTAACAAAACTAACAATAACAATTTTAACTTGAAGCTATTTTTTTAAAATAAATTTAAATACAGAAATTTAGAATCGTCATATTATAAAAAAATGTGAAAAAAAAATTAAAACTTTAATCTTAATATTGAATGATCTGCAGCATTTTACATGTACAAATGCACCTGATATCTTTACCAACTTCGTAAAATAGATTCGCAATATTTCGATGTGAATAATACGAATTTCAATGCCGATTATCATCAAACAATTATAATTTTTATATCGTAATTTTCAATTCATTGAAGCTTCATCATCTATGTCGGACAAAATCCGTGTAAATAGGAAAATATCAATTGTTTTTTTCATAATAATTGAAATAAATTAGGTCGTCGCCTTTCTATTAAAAATTCTATACCGTTAAAATTGAATTAATTATTTTTGACATGAAACTTATAAACCAACAATCCCTTAAATTATAATTTTCATAATTTGTGCAAGTAAAAATCTTTTGTTTAAAAAAATTCATTTTTGTGTTTTCTTAAAATAAATATTTAAAATAATTAAAAACAATACAAACAAAATGATTCACATAAATTACGAAAAAAAATTGTTATACATCAAAAAATTTTATGTAAATTTTGTATTAAAACCATAAGAAAATACACGGTCTTTATGGAATTGTATGCAAATTAAAAGTGAATATTAATTTCAATCCGAATCCCATACATTTCACCTACATATAAGAAATCATTGTACTCTCACTCTCAATCGATACAATGCAATGCACCTACACGCATAACTAATTTCTGTTTATGTGTGTATTAATATTTAACGTGCATTTAATATTAATGAGAAAAAAAATTATTAGAATGCAATTTTTCTCCCTCAATAATAATAACATAGGGTGAATTATTTATGTACTTATATATTATTTATAATATCGAGTATAGTTGGTGTTGTTGTTATGAGGAACGGTTAATGAACAGCATTGAATGCATTGTTAAAAGAAAAAATGAAAAGTAAAATACTAATAATACCGTTGAAATATGAAAAAAGCATTTCTTACATATAGCGTGTTTTTTTCCAATGTACTTTGACTGTTCGCGAAAGTACACGTAATCCATATTAATCATAAATTGCAAGGGAAAAATGCAAATATTGCAACACCATTATATACTTAAGTACATAAAGTGAAAATAATGAAAAATGCAAGTTGTAAAACGAATAAAATAATTGATTCAACATAATGGGTAATTCACAATGTTATTTTTATGAAATAAAATTTTATATTAAAGCCCCATCTTTGTATATGGGAAATGCATTTTTGTCCTAACAATCGATATTATAACAAAAAGAGAAAGAAAGAAAATGTAATCATTGACCCTCCATTGAATGACATTTCTTTTATAGTACTTTCTTCTGGAACTATGCGATAATTATGATGATAAAACTTTTTTTAGGAAAATTAATTAAGGTGTGGTGAGTTTAATGTACACTGAGCTCATTGACGACGCCTTTAAAACTTTCTTTCTTATTAAATTTTATTGAAATGTTTTTCTATTTAGGGACCACAATTTGGCATCAAATAAAATGTTTATAAATTTTATATATATACATATTAGCAAAAACTTTGGGAACTTAAAAAGTTTCAAGATATGTGAAAGTAAATTAATTTGAAAAGGCGAAATGATAGAGTTCATAGAGTATTTTCGGGACGGATTTCAAACAACTGCAATTAAAATTGCAATTCTTTTTCCAAGAGAAATTTTAAAATAAATGGCGAAATATGACTTAATCATTACATTGTAGAGACTCATGTAACCTCGATGAGCATTTTTATCTCATTACATCGTCATAATAATACATAATACAATATGGTTATAATTTTTAATACTTTGGATATGTATCCATACTTATTTGCGGGTGTTACAAATTAACTAAGAATTTAGCGCTAAGCAGAAATATGATGCAGGTTTCACGTCGGTGGATTGACGCGACAGGTGTAGCAGGTCCACCGCACCCCAATGGGCACAAATGAACCGTTTTGGTGTAACCGCTCCGTGACCACCAGGCCATCATTGAGTTTACGATTACAGGTGGCCCATCTAAGCCACACGGTTCCCTTGAGGAATCTATCTAAATCCACGATACTAATTTTCGAAAGAACATACTACACAATATTTTATATAGAAAAATTATAACGTCAGGAATCGATTTAGTTAGTCGATATTAGTTAAAAACTGCAACTAAAGTAATCAAATTTTACTCAATTTACAAAACTAGTCAAAATGTTATTGATATAATCTGTTTTTGGTAGAAATGTTAACGGAATAAAGAAGATTATTTGTTATGTAATTTAATCAAAAAATATATTTAATTAAAAGATTGACAAAAGTAAAAAAAACTTACCGCTTCAATTTCCTTTTCAAAACGTATTGGTCTTAAACGGCATATTAATATTATTAAATATATAAAATTAACACTTAAAAATAAACCAGACCATAATATAACATCTGGCCGACATTGTATAAACCAACCATAAGTGGCCATTAGAACACAGCCAATCAATAAAAATGAACGCATCCATAGCATTCCATAAGGGCTATTCGGTGCAATAAAGGCAATTAAAAAGAATGCATTACTTAATTGAAAATAAATTTCATATGGCCTTGACCAAATTAGGCACTGTTTAATTGACCAATCATCAAAATTAACTGTACCACCATTATTATCATCAATAATACCGGTATTACCGATACTATTACCTATACCATTAATACTACCACCAATTATATTACCACTATTATCAATTATTGAACTAGAATCAATACCAGATGGCATCATCAGCATCATATTATTATTATTTTTTTGATATCTTATTTTATTTTTAATATAATTATAATTATTATTATTATTATTTTTATTAATATTATTATTATTTTTATTGTTATTATTATCAAAATTATTTAAATTATTTGTACGATTTAAATGATTATTTGTTTTATTATTATAAATAAATTGATTCCATAATAAATTTGCACCATTTGAATTATTATTATTATTATAATTATTATTATCACTAATTATAACACTGTCTAATATTATTGTTTCAGTTGTTGTTTCTGTTGTTGATCTTGTTTTAATAATTATTGCACCTTCACTATTTAAATTATAATTATTTTTATTATTATTTTTATTAAAATTATTTTTATTATAATCAACACTATTTTGATAATATTTTTGATAATTCTCTAATAAATCACTTGATTTTAAAGATTCAGCTGTATTTATTGGTAATATTGATGTTACTGTTCCTGATGCTAATGCTGCTGCAATTGTTGTTTCTGTTGTAGCTAGTAATGGTGTTCTTTTAGTTAATGTTGCTGTTGCTGGTGTTTCAATTGTTTTTGATACTGATGTTATACCTTTTTTTAATTGTGTTGATGATTGTCCAGACGATTGATGATATTGATGATACTGATGATGATTATTATAATATGGTGTCATTGCTTTTGCCATAACATTATCAATGATTTCATTATTATTATCATTATTATTTATAAAATCGTTATTATCATTATCTTTCTTATAATAATTATTATTATATTTTAAATTATTTTTAAATTTTGTATGTGATAATGATGCTGATGATACTGGCGCTTTTGCTACTATTGCTGCTGTTGCTGCTGCTGCTGATGCTGTTGCTGTTGTTGATGATGAATGATAAAAATTTTTATAATTATTATTTAAATATTTAATTGTTGAACCGATATTATAATCAAATTGTAAATTATTTGAACTTGGATTAACTGTTTCAATAAGACCTAATGCTAATGCACTAATAAGTAACATAATTTTTATTCCACCACCAAAACAATTTTCACCAATAATCACCACCTTATTCACCTTGGTTTTTTTCTTATTTTGTGTGTATTTCGTTTTTTGTAATTTCAATATTTTTACATTTATATCATAGAATATAGAAAAAAAGAACTGTTTGACTTAATAAAAATTATTTGAATATTTTTTTTTTAATGAAAACTAAAACATTGAATTTTTGATTTAAAAATTAAAATAAATATAAAAAACAATATTATTGTAATATATTTGGCATTGGAGACTATAAATTTTATGTACAAAGTTTTTCTTGTTTAATTGCAACACTCTACACTATCTTTTCAATTCTCTACAATATAATACAAATGCACTTATAAAAATGTTTACTATCTCTTTCTAAAGCATTAATAAAATTTATAATTGTGTCTATTTTTATAGAATTTAATTTGCGAATTAAAAAAATATTATTCTTGGAAAATAATAGCAAAATTTTAATAATAGAAGATTTGCAAATATACTTGAGTAATTAGAAAATTATTAATATAAAAAAATTCTAATTTTTATTTACTAGATTTTTACTATATAATTTAATATTATTGTTGTATGTTACATAATTACATAAGTTTTTACAATATTTATTATGATTAAATTCACTTAAGGATTACGGTATTTTTACACATAAGAAATTTTTATATTTGTTTATCTATTTCTAAGTAGGTATACAATTTAATTTCTTCTTCTCGCTCTTATATACAATTATATTTTATATTTTTAATATTTTTTATTGTTTACGTTTTTTTTAAATTTTTATTTTCGAATTTTTAATAATATTTCAATTATTCTTCAACTATTTATAGTTTTCTTGTTATTTTTTAAGGAAAGAAATGAAATAAAAAATTTTGAACTTGATCCTTTAACAAGGTCCTTATTGTATAAAACGTTCATACATTCTATGCTTGTCTTGTTTTATAACCAAGCAAAAATATTAAATTAAATGTTTTTTTTTTCTATTCTTCTTTTTTTTAATTTTTCTTTGAACGTTTTTTGAATTTAAAATGATTTTTGAAATCGAATTGACTGAAATTGAATGAAATTTTTTTTTGTTATTATTGTGTTCTAAGTATTTGTCAATTCACTGTATTGCTGTTGCTGTTATGCTTCTTCTTTTGCCATTGTTGTTGCCAATTGATTTAGCTGCTTTTATTAAATATTTTATTCGTCTAAATTGTTGAATTTTTAAGCGCGCGGTTTATGTTCAGAGTTTCCAACGTAATATTAGTACATAATTCATTTTTTTTCCTTCCCAAATTTAGGCAGGAAAAATAAAATGATTTCTTTATGTACTTACTTGTCTTTAAATTTTTAAATTTTTTTTGTATGCAATTTATATCCAATATTATACAAATTTTATTTTGTGTTCTGTCTTTGTTGTTGTATGATGTATTGATTTTCGCCAAATATAATATGAAAAAATGATGAAGAGGAAGAATATCTGAAAATATAAAAGAAAATGAAAATAAATAAATTTTTTCTTTTTTTTTTGTGTTTAATAACAAAATCAAATATTAAAATTTTCATATAAAGCATTCAAATATATTGTATGTTGTTTGTGTGTGAATGAAAATTAAGTATATATATACAAATGCATGTATTTTTGCAAAAATATATTGTGTACATGAAATACACGAGACTGAAAAGTATATTTGCATATTATTATATTTGCATGAATGAATTAATGTATGTACTTAAATTATTTTAAAAATACTGAGTATATGCATGAGTAATCAGAATAAAGGTATTAGGGAAATAAAATAAAATTTGTAAATTCTTATCAAAGCTCAAGCGAAAAAAAAGGTATAACTTTGTTAGAATTGGAATAATCTCATTTATATAATCGAATTGAATCCGAATTTATCAAATTAAAATTAAACACATATTTTGTTTTCTTTGAAATATTTAAAAAATTTAAATCAATTTGGAGTTAGAGTTGTCAAGTGCATACATTATAATATATTATACGTATGTGTCCCATATAAGTGGTAATTAATTCTGTAATTACAATTATAAACGCAGATTTCGAACTTTAAGTTTATGCAGATAGTAAAAAAATATTTATGCTCTGAAAGATGGACATTATACTTAATTTGGATTGGAAGATAGCTCTAAAAACTCAATAAGCAGAATTTGTGTTAGTATTTTTTTTTTGCGGTCAACTACAGCAATCTGAATTTTGAGTAACACAATGTAGATTGTAGATTTTTAAGGGAACCAAGGGAGCAACTAAATCACCCACGCGCCACTGCAGCCATTCAAGACTTACTGCAGTCTTCCCACGCTCCCGCCTATAATATCCCCGTTCCAAGTATAAAACTAAAGATATTCCTAAGTGAGTTTGACAGCAGTTTACAACGCAAAAAAAAATGCGACACGAGACAGCTCTTGAGAGAATATAAGTCATGTGTATTATAAATATAACCCTAAATAGAATAACTTTATAAAATTTCAATTTCTACATTTTTTTCTATAAAAAAGCGAATTCGGATTTTCCAAATTTGTTTAATAATTTCCTAAATTTATTTAATTTTTATATAATGTAATTTACACTTAATTCAATCATTAACTTTTTTTGTTTTAAAAATTTTAAAAACCCCATGAGTTATACACCTATAAAATGTTGATCTCTAAAAATTAAAATTATTTTTTTCAAGGACACCAAAATATTTATAGCTAGCTGCTATCTAACTATCATATTGTAGTCATGAAATATTTAAGCATAGCTTTAGGCGAAATTAAATTATTGCATTTGTGTTTATTTATTGTAATAAATAAAATTATGAATTCACAAAAGACTCGCAAATTTACAAATTAATAAAGAAATTATTGAAATTGCAATCAATTTTTTTTACTATTTTATTATTAAAATTTCCTCTAAAAAATATTGAATAATTTTATTTTCTTTTCGTATTTTTATATTTGTCACAACATAATATTTAACATTTTGTGTGTTTGTATATTTAAAATTAAATTGTTTTAATAACAGCTGTGTGTGTGGCAATTATAAAGAATATTCAAAATATTTGATAATAAATAAAGTGGATTTTTGATAATGAAGTTAATATAAAAAATTAAATTAAATAAGGAATTATGCAATTGGTTTATTCTATTTGGTTATATTACTCTGTGTCTATTGATTGCTCGTAGCACAAAGACGTGAATTTGTTATTTAAAATATTTTTGGAATTAGGTAAATTATTTTTAATTTGATGTTGATTGATAATTTGATTTTTTTATTTGATTTTAGTGAATGACTTTGTAAAAAATTCCGGATTCGTAAGGAAATTGTAATTTTGATGAGCAAATTGCACAAGACAAGAAAAGCCTTGTGCAAAACACCATTGACCTCAGCTTCTTAATTAATGTAGTGTTTTAATTTCAGTACCCTGTACTCTATTACTTTCATTATGTTTCTTCTTAATTTATTTCCAGTTTAGTATTATTTAATCACTTCTGTAGAAAAAATATCCAAATTATATACAACTTATTTCACAAAATTGAGTAGATACCAGAGTAAATAAGTTGAGCTTCAAATGGTCTAAATTTTCCATCGTTTACATTCCAAATTTAAGTAAATTATTTGTTTGGGCGATGGAAGAGTTTGCGAATTATTTAAAACTTAATGAAAGGATAAATAAGAAAAAAAATTCAAAAACGAATTCAATTGTAATAATTGAATTACAAAAAAAAAATATCGTAATTTTATTGGGGGGAGATTTCAAGGATTATAGAGAAAGAAATCCAGGATCATATATAGAGAGAAAAATCAATGATCATATATAATTTTTTTAATTATATCATTTTCCCAAATTCTTCTTCCAATTAAAAAGTAAATTCTAATGTATAGCACTATTGTGGTACTATCGTAAGTGTTAAAAAATCATAGTCTTTTTCTCATAATTTCCTAATAATATTTTCCTACTTCTCTTTAAATCTTAATTTGATAAATAAACGGAAAAATAATATAAAGAGAATAAGTATTAGATTGTGAATTTCAAAGAAGCAAAATGTGCTATGCTATAATATATGAGTTTATAAATAAGAAGCATATTTTATTCTCCACTATATGAATTGACCCTGTTATGGAGAATAAGAGAATCAGCAAATTGCAAAGAGAATGAGATAATAATAATATTGTACTTAAGAAAAATTCCCTTTTTAAATTTTACCAAAAAAAAAAATTTGTATTTTATTTTTGACCGCACGTACATTTTTTTTAATACACAAAAATTTCTTTGTTTGTTCGTTTTATTTTTTTAACAAGTCAGTTTTTGGAAACTTTTTTAATCGCGTACCATTTCCGAAATTCATGACATCATTTTGGTATTAAATTAATTTTTTTTTTTTTTCATGAAAATTTATATTAGTAGACTATTAAACTACATTATTTGAACTGACGAAATTTTGAATCTGTGTTCTCTACTTCCAAATAATAACACGACATATTTTATTTGAAATGATAAGAAAAAATTGAAATATTTGAAAAATTTCTTGAATTGAAATTGATCTTTTTCATTAAATTTCCAAATACGTTAAGATTTTTTGAATGTATAATAAAATGAAGATCTAAAAATTAAAATAATTTCGGTTTTTGAGTCATGTTAAACAAAGATAATGAAGAACTACGATTGTATGACATAATCAAAATTAACAGAATCAGTTTTTTAATTGAGCGAATCTTGAAAGTAAACTTGATTTAAGTTACATATTTAGATTCTAAAATCTACTAAGTTAGAAGTAGAATGATAGCCAAATTTAATTACTTACTGCAGAATTTGAAAGAAACTATTCTTTTATTGACCATTTTTATTTAAATACACAATTTTAGAATAATAACGGTAAAGTTTCAATATTTCACTAATTTAATGTAGTATTTCTAAAAATTTCAATATTTAATGTAGTGAGAAAATTTTTGTTGCATAATATCTGATTATAAAATATGTAATTTAAACCCAGCAAGTTCTCGAAAACGTTTTATAATGAAAAATATCAAATTGCAGTACAAGTTTGAAAGTCCCTAAATTGTCAAACATTTTTAATAAAATCTTCAAAGCAAAAAATAATCAAAGCAAAAAACTGAAGAAAAAAAATCGAATATTATGAAAAATTTTTTGGCATAGCGACAAATCGAATTTAGAACGTGATTTAGATTTTATTTTTTCCTTGTGTGTATAAAATTTCCCCAAGGGATTTTCTTTCCGTTTAGATTCTCCACTTTTTTTTTTTTCTTTAAATCATTTAAAGAAAATTAAATTTTTGCAACCATTTTCTTACACTTTTGAAAATTTCTTATTTTTTTAAATTTAATTTTAAATAATCATAATTCATTTTGAGCTTTTAATATTTCTGATTGTTGAAATGTTCTTGAATAAATAATTTTTTAAATGCAAAGGCAAATCGGTCTTATATTACCGTAATCGTTTAATTCTCAATTGGGTTAAATAAGAATTGTGTAAGTAGCTTTAAAATTTCATGAAATGAAAATGAATTTTTAAAACAATAATTATTTAGATATAAGCACAAATACCCACTTCTTATATAAGCGCATACCGAGAATCGGAATTTCGATTGAAATTATTTGAAATTTTTTTTACAAACGACCAATCATGCTTTTTATTAATTGAGAATCGCACCATACATTAAAATTTGAATTTGTGCTATATATTTCTCTACTCGCAGCATTTTTTTTAATATTTAAATTTCAACGTAATGCGTATATTGCTTTATAATGCGTATATAGTTACATCACCTTCTTATTACCTAGAATTCTGTAAAAATTTTCTTAAAGAATTGTAATTTTTTAATTTTTGTTATATAAATTATATTATTATATTATTTATAAAATAGTCGTAGTCTTTAAATTGTAATTTTTTACAATTTTAAGACTACGACTATTTCGTATAGCGAATACTATTTGAATATTGTCAGAGATAGATAAAAGCAGCTATACAATTTTCACAATTCCACAGCTTCTTTCATCATTATCGTGTCATCGTCAATTATTGGGTAAACTCGAAACTTATTCATTTTCTTCAATGTAATTAAAGCTTGACTTTTTTATTTTAACCACGCTGAAGTTGCTATTAAATTAAAAATTTTATTATGGTCTACATTTTGGTGTTTTTCCTATTCACAATTTCAACTGAAATTCTACTTATGCTTCCATTATTCCATTCTAAGCTCTAGCTGAATATGTACGTAAGTAAATATATTTAATAGCCCTTTTAAGTAATAAAATTAATCGCTTTTCTAGATCGCTTCATTAGATTGCTTTTTTAATTATAATTAATTAATATTATAATTGAAACACTTTTCGCACTATTATTTAA